AGAACTGACTCCCAAAGGTTGTTCTCTGACTTCCACAGGTCTTCAGGGGCACGCACCCCAACCCCCAATAATAAGAAGAAAACCAACAGGGGTCCTATCAAAATGTATGGAGTCACATATAAGGAGATAGATGAACACAGAAACTGGTGTAACCTTTAAAATGAACATCCCAGATGGGCATGGTGATGCATTCCTGACAGCCAAGGTCGAGGGCCTTGGGAGATAGAGACAAGAGGATCATAAGTCCTGGGTCATATTTAGCTACATAGTATATTTAAGGCCAGCCTGGACTGCCTTATTTTAGAATGTGTCTAAAATAAAACAAAAAAATAAAGCAACCACCCCACCCCACCCATGTGCCGTGTGTGATAGCACTGTCTTTAACCTAGGACACAGGAGGCTGAGGCAGAAGGATCTGGAATTTGAGGCCAGCCTGGGCTATATAGTTTCAGGAAAGTTTGGACTATCTCAAAAAAAAAAAAAAAAAAAAAGAAAAAGAAAAAGAAAAGAAGAGGAAAAAGAAAGAAGAAAAAAAGAAAGAAAGAAGAAAAAAGAAAGAAGGAAGAAGAAAGAAAGGGCAGAAAATAGGGCTGGTGAGATGGCTTATTGGGTGAAGGGGCTTGCTGCCAAGGCTCACAACCCAAATGTTGGATCCATGGGATCCACATAGGGGTGTGTGTGTGTGTGTGTGTGTGTGTGTGTGTGTGTGTGTGTGTGTGTGTGAGAGAGAGAGAGAGAGAGAGAGAGAGAGAGAGAGATTGAAAACAAAGTACAAAAAACAAAATAACCATTCCAGAAGGTAGCTTCTACAATTATGTTTAAGTACAAAAATGTAAAGTTGAACCCTAAGAGCTGTGTTTTTTGGAGAAGGCTTTGCTCAGATCTGATTAAACAGCTGGAAATCGGGTCACATCTCTGCCACAGCTTGCATACAGCCTGAGGGATGGGACGAGGGTTCTGGGATCTATCAGTATGGATGAGGCATAAAGAAAGGTTAAACAAGGAGCTTGGCACCTTATCTGATGGCTGGGCAGTTCTCTGTGTGTCATGTGGGCCATATTACTCATGGGAGCTTAGAATAGAACAGGAGATTTATGGTTTATAGATACTGGAAGTCCCACTGAGCAACCTTCACCTGGGCCTGGTGACAACTGCTGTCCAGGATCATTCAATCAGACCACGCTACCAACCGCAGCCCTGATTCATGGACAAGGAAACACTGGCCAAGCCTTTGCTCCTCCTTATGCCACACCCTTCTCAGTTTTGTCTTCATTCTCTAGTTGACTGTGTGCAGTGAGTTTGCCAGGTTGGCTTCCATGATTGGAAGTTGGGTGGCCTCACCATGGCTGTCTGAACAAGGGAGGAGTGGAGAACCTAGCAGCGCTCAGTGCAAGAAGGTGGGAGACTCCGAACAAGACAGACCAGTGGTGCAACCCAGACTGCGGAAATTCCTGGAAGCCCCTGTAGAGCTGTAGCATGAATCTGCATTGAAAAGCTGGCACCCTCCATTCCTACTTTCAGTTTATCTGAGACCCCTAACCTATTGGACAGTGTCATCCACATTCAGGGAATGTCTTTCCTTCTCGGTTACTGTCCCACATGTCAGTGGGAAACCCACTGTTTAGTCTTACTACTCCTGGGTATCTTTTGGTCCGGTCATCTTGACTGTCAAGATTACTTATCATAGCAAGTAGAGAGCATCTCTGCAAACACTTGGATACCTATATCTTCCAGGAAGATTTCTGTCTTAGTCAGTGTTCCACTGCTGTGAAGAGATGCCATGACCACAACAATGCTTATAAAGCATTTAACTGGGGAGTGGCTTACAGCTTCAGAGGGCCAGTTCATTATCACCATGGCAGAGAGCATGGCACCGAACACAGTGTTGGAACAGTGGCTGAGACCTTCATCTTGATCTGCAAGCAGAGAGAATCAGGCAGGGCTTAGCATGGGCTTTTAAAATTTCAAAGCCCATCTCCAGTGATATACCTCCTCCAACAAGGTCACACCTCTCAACCCTTCTAATCCAAATCTTCTAATCCTTTCAAATAGTGTCACTCCCTGGTGACTAAGCATTCAAATACATGAGACTATGGGAGCCATTACAGCCTCCCTGGGTTTCAGAGCACTGTGTTCCAGGCTCTGTGGGGTAGAAGAGCAGCCTTGCAGTCCCTGGGCCCAGGCAGGGATTGACCAAGGACTTTTGCCAAGTGTCAGGTATGCTAGTGAGCAGGATGAGGGATGGGGGGTTGGGGGTTGTGTGGGGGTGGAGACATGGGGGATGGAGATATGGGGGGTGCTCAGGAGCGAAACCCCACGGAATGAACAGAACTTGGTGAGTGCAGAGGCCCTCTGCTACAGGGCCAAATTAACCCTCCTCTCCCTCCTCCTCTCTAGCACATCCCAGCAAGCTGCTCCCTTTGCACAGCCTGATTGGCTACTTGTGTGAGCAGTTGCCAACTCTGTCTAGGAGGAAAGCCCATGCTGTCAGCCAGCAGCACAGATTGCTGAAGGAAAAATGACACAACTCATCCTCTGGGCAGAGGTGCAAATTAGTACGTATTCCACCACCCCTCCTCCGCAGCTGATGGAAGAGGGTGGAAAATTTTCCATGGAGACTGCAGACTTTTCCTCACCGTGGTGTCTGATGATCAAACACGTCCTCATGGCTCTTAGTCCACATTCATTCCTGGCTCCCTGTTCTCCGACATCAAAATGACTTCAGCAGGCCCTGTGGATGAACATATATAAGAATTGGGCCTCAGTTTTCCTCTGAATAGCCCTGCTATGAAGTAAGATTCCTGAAAGAAGGCACTGTTCAGCCAAGAATCTAAATCTCCAGATAAATGACACCATGGTAAACACACACACACACACACACACACACAAAAACCCACACACCACACACTATATACAGCACACACACACACAAAATACAAAAAACACACAACATACACAGAGACACATACATGCAGCACACACACACAACACACACACACACACACACACACACACACTGCATATTGGTGCAGAATGGTTGTGACATAGCCACATTCCAGTCATCCGAGGCCTAAGGTTGACCTAACCACTAGGAAGGAACTCTGCTCCGACATTCCTTTCTCAGCTTATGACATTCATTGTTCCTGTCAACTTCAGAGACTGTCCCACTTGGATTCCATTTTATTTTTTTCAGGAGGGTTTCACTATGCAGCCCTGGCTGGCTTGGGACTTGTTATGTAGACCAGGTGGCCCAATCTCACTTGGATTCCATTTAACAGTGCTTACTGAGCTCCCGCATTGAGCAAAGCACTGTGCGGGGCTCTGGGAGAATACAGTAATTTACAATGTGCAGGATCTGCCTTCAGACGTTTATGGTTTAGACTGAAGTGGGAGCTACCAAAGCGGTGCATGTAAGGAGACCAAACGGGACTGGCACAGAATAGTAACATGGTGGGGGAGGGGGACTGGAAGGATGCCCAGACCGTAAAGGGAGGCCAAAAGCATGAAAGCATCAGGTAAGTAAAAGTATGGAGAGAAGGTTGCTCAGAGCAGGGGAATTTTAAGGAGGGACAATGGACAAGGTGGAGTTTTCGTCTATGAATCAAGAAGTAGGAACACTTCCCTGCAGTAGAATCCACACTGGTATGTGATACCAGCTGCAGGAGGTAGACAGCCCTATCCCATAATGCACAGCTCAGAATTCCCACCCCTCTTATTTTAAGGGATATATTCTGAAATATTTTGCCCTTGTGACTTCAAGGATGCATATTAATTGTTAGTATCTAAAGTTAAATTAAGGTCACTTATCCTTAGTGTTAAATTGTTGGTGTTTCTGGAATTGAACAAACATTTCCAGGAGCAAAGTCTGGGTGTAAATGACATTCCCATCTAACAGCTGGGGAAAATTAGAGACAACTTTCCTAGTCACACAGGAGAGACATTTACTCCTAGCCTAACAATTCCTCCATCGTGTCTTCCTCACAATTACCTGCCATGCAGGGCAGGATTCCGGACTTCTTCTTTATATTTCCCTAAGTAGCTGGGTTGTAGGTCTTCAGGATAGGGAAATAGAAACCTGTCACTCTGTGACACGTCCTTCTAACCTCTCTTACTCTTGTTTAGACATTTCTTCTTCTTCTTCCTCCTCCTCCTCTTCCTCCTCCTCCTCTTCCTCCTCCTCCTCCTTTTTCTCCCTCCTCCTTCTCCACCTCTTTCCTCCCTCCCCTCCCCCCTCACCCACCCCTCTTGTGACTCTGGTGAGTTCTTTCTTTGTCTACAGCCTGCAGGGTGAGGGAAAGCTCAGAGCCTGGACAAACCAAGTATGATTTTGTGACAGCCTGGCTCTAGGCATTCAGTCCACAAGGAAATGACATGTGCTTTTGAGTTGACTTCCAAGTGTACACCTGGCCTTGATCACCCAGTCTCCAGACACTGTGTGTGTTGATCTTGGGGTGCAAAGCAGCATCTAAGTAACCATGGAGATAGGATTATAAACACCAGTGAGTGTGCCAGACTCAGGTGGCTAGTCTCAGTTAAAGCAGCAGGGTTGATTCACCTGGACAGATGATGAAAGTGTTGTCACCAGGTCTGTCACTCTGAGTCAGATGGCGGTGCTTCACAGTGAATGACCCCTACTGAATCCATTTCATTGACTACTTTATTCTTTATCTATGTCAGAACCATGAACCGGGAGCTGCTATGGGGCAGTGGATGCTCAGGCACGGAGACAGCAGTGGGCTGGTCCCTCACCTCAGATAACTAACCCTCAGCGAAGGCTGATTGACTGGCATTTATAAGAAGCTGTCAGAGCAAAAGCTGGCAAGTCCCGGACAAACAGGAACAAGGTAGTTACCCTACTGAGGGAGACCTATAACAAATGCATAATAAAATGTAATAATTTCAAAAGGTGAGAGATAGGCATGGTGGCTCAGGCCTGTTAAAGCATTTGGGATGGATATGTGTGTGTGTGTGTGTGTGTGTGTGTATGTGTGTGCATTTCAACACTTACCTGTCAGGGCAGAACCCATGGCCATGAAGGCAGTTTTCCCAAGGTGAGGCTTATCCATTGCACTTAGGATGTTCTGACACCCTCCAATTTACCCCCAAATGTGGGAAACTTGACTACATAATTTGTTGTAATGGGGGACTTTGTTCATGTTTTCCCCAAAGAAATAAAATTTGATAAAACCTTCAAATGGTGATAAATGCATTAAAGAAATACATGTACTGATTGGCGCTGGGAGGGACTGGGGAGGGCCTGAGGAGGGACTGGGGAGGGCCTGAGGAGGGACTGGGGAGGGCCTGGGAGGGGCTGGGTAGAAGCTGGTGAGGGACTGGGGAGGGGCTGAGAGGGACTGGGAAGGGCTGGGGAAGGCCTGGGAGGGGCTGGGGAGAGGCTGGGGAGGGACTGAGGAGGGGCTGGGGAGGTCCTGGGAGGGGCTGAGAGGGTCTGGGAAGGACTGGGGAGGGCCTGGGAAGGGCTGGGGAGAGGCTGGGGAGGGTCTGGGAGGGGCTGAAGGTGTGAGGAGATGGCCTGAAGTACCCTGAAGCCCTGAAAGCTGTGGGAACAGGGATAGACTATACACCTGAAGGAACCGCAGGCTCCAATGAGGCTGGAGAGGACACAGCAGCAGGCAGGCTGTGTCTCCCAGGCCTCTGCAGGGTCCTACTGATGCACCAGCAAACTCTCATGCACTATGGCTGCTTCTAGTCTAGGGACTTCCCACACTAGCTCCTGCGTTACATTACCCTGTTTTCGTCACTGGTGAGAAACTGAGGCACAAGAAGGTATGAGAATTCTATGATCAAACAGCCAGCCAGCCACCAGAGACGGTGGACAGGCCTCCAGCTCAAGTGACCTAGCCACACCCTCTGCCTCACACTACCTGCTCTTTAGAAGACGGCCTAGATCAGATTCCACTGTGGCCCAAACCCTCCCTTTGTGCCCCACCTACTCCAGATCCATGTACAAATTGTCAGTCTGTGAGTGGACTTGCTGCTACTGGAAGTATAAGGGCACATTGACACGCCTGCCTCCAGCCCAGACAGGGCTTCTCTGTGTAGTCCAGGCTGTATGGACCAGGCTGTCCTTGAACTCTGAGACCTAGCTGCCTCTGCTCTGGAGTGCTGGGGTTAAAGGAGTGCACCAGCACCACTGTACAGCTGTCTTTTTTTTTTTAAGATTTACAAACATTTCTGCGCATGCGTTTCTGTGTGTGCACATGTGTGCCACATGTACACAGGTACATAAAGAAGCCTGAAGAGGGCATCAGATCTCCTGGAGCTGGAGTTATTATAGCCAGCTGTGAGCCATCCGACACAAGGGTGGGATCCAAACTCAGGTCCTTGGGAAAAGGAACCAGCACTCTTATCTGTGAGCTTCTTCATGATCACCCTCAATGCCTGTTTTTATGCCTTCCTGGGTGCAGCAACCATCATAGCTACCCAGCTGCCAAGGCTGTTATATCTGCAACCAAATTACTTGGTAGGGTACAGTTGAAGGTGGGCTTTCTTTACCATCTCTAATAAAATGTTTGCGCAGTCCTGTATGGGGAAATGCAGAGCTACAGCAATGAAAATGAACAAGGATAATTTGTGTGTTGGCATTTCCACAATAGAATGTCAAATATTTCATACTCAGTGATGCTGAGCCGTTATAGTTCACTGCTATTCCTTTTATGAAGTGCTTTGTGTTTGCTTTATTATTAATCTTAAGTGGTGTGTGTATATTATATACTTTCTTCTTCAATGATATGTTTCTCAGTATTTTAAAGGCTGTCATAAAAATATAGATGTCTTGAGCACTGAGACAATAGAGTGTCAGGTGAATGAACAGGTCGTTGTAACTGAGCTTTCTTCCTGGAGACATTCCAGCTCACGCTGCAAGCAATGACATCTTTTTCGTCATGTAAGGGACTTGGTTGCTCTTTGTAGAACATGGTAATTAGTTGATTTTGGCTCTTTTATCTTCTCTTCTTATTTTTATTATTTTCACCATTATTATTTCATCTATTTGAGACAGGGTCTAATGTAGTCCGGGCTGGCCTTGTAGCTGAGGATGGCCTTGAACTAATGATCCTGATTCGCAAGAGCTGGCATGACAGGTGTATGCCACCTTGCCTACCCTCTCCTATTATGTTTAGTATTCTTCTTTGTGCAGAATCTTTCCAAATGAATGGTGAAAAGGGGTTTGATAGTTTTAATTATCCATTTGACACAACCTGATTCACAATCACCTGTGAAGAGTGCTAAGGTGGGGTTTCTCTATCTTAGGTCACCCTGTTGGCATATATGAGGGGGATTGTGTTGGTTACCTTAATTAATGTGAAAAGACCCACCCTAAAGGTTTCCAGTGCCTCTGAGAACAGCCAAGATAAAAGGGCATGAGGACATGAAAGAAAGAAAGAAAGAAAACTTTTCATGTTTTCATGGCTTGGCCTTCCCACTGCTGGGTTCAACTATCCTGACACTGGAACCAGCTTCTTTGGACTTCCAAGGTGAGTAGCCATATGGTTTCTAGGAATCCAACCCAGATCCTCTGGAAGAGCAGACAGTGAGTGATCTTAACCATCTCTCCAACCCCCTGGCCTTCTGATGTGGACTGCAGACCAGCAGCTCTCCAGGAATCCCGCAGGCCTTTGGTGTTAGAGTGGGACTATTGAGGTACCCAGCCTCATGGACTGATCAGTTACCAGGTTCCTGGCTGGCTTCTCTGATGGGAAATAGCCAATGGTGGATTGCAACAACTCATTTTGTAAGCCACTCTAATAATCATGTATTCATCTTTTTTAGTTCTGTTCCTCGAGAGAACCCCCACTAAAGGATAATAAGAGCCCAGGTTAAACCGGAAATCATCACATTTGAAAATTATTTACTTATCTGTGTGTGGGTGTGTGGGTGGGTGTCACTGGTGCCATGGCTTGTGTGTGAAGGTCCGAGGACAACTGTAGAAGTTGATGCTCTCCTTCTGCTCTGTGGGTTCTGGGGATTGAACTCAGACCACCAGGTTTGGAGGCAAGCACCCCCACCCTGCTAAGCCACCTCACCTGCCTGAGTCCTCACATTTTAAGAGTACTCATAAATCACATGCTGTGAAATGAGACGAGAGACACAACATCAGCTGTATGTTAGGCTTTTGAATTCTTTTCACTTTGGTAGTTTTTTATTAGCATTGTTAATTGTACACATGCCAGGATTCTGGGTGCTATTTCCATACACATTGACTTGCACTGACTAAGATCATTACCCTCTTCTACCCTTTCCCTATCCCAGTCTCAAGGGAATCCTATTCTATTTTCAGGTCAACTTCAAAGAATATATTTGTTTTATTTTATCGAGACAGGGTTTATCTGTGTAGCCCTGGCTGTCCTAGAACTCACTCTGTAGATCAGTCTGGCCTTGAACTCACAGAGATCGTCTTGCCTCTACCTCCTGAGTGCTGGGATTAAAGGCATGCACCAGCACCACCCTGCTCTAATTATGTTTGATTATGTGTATGGGGGGGGGCTAGGGGAAGTGGCTATGTGTGGGCCTGAGCACAGGTGTCTACAGAAACCAGAAGCACAGGCTACCCTGCAGCTAGAGTTTCCAGTGTTGTAAGCCATGCCATGTGAACACTGGAGGTTAAACTCTATTTCTCTGCAGAGCAGTATGCACTCTTAACTGTTTTGGCTTCCACATACCATTTTTTTTTTTCTTTGCTCTTGAAGAAGGTAAGCAGCTGGTCAAGAGCACCCAGGCTTGATTCCCAGCAGCTGTCTGGCTGCTTATAACCATCAATAAGTCTAGTTCTGGGGACCTGTGATCTCTTCTGGCCTCCTTGGGCCCTGCTTGCACATGGTTCACAGCCATATGTACAGAGAAAAATCTATACAAGAAAAATTAAATTAAAATAAAAAGAAATGGGAGGGGACAGGAAGTATGGGGTAGAGCAATCAGAGAAACGGGCAAATTATAACAACTATAATGACATACGTGTGTGAAAATACCATAACGAAACCCATTACTCTGCATAATAATAATAATAATAATAATAATAATAATAATAATAATAATGAAGAAGAAGAAGAACTAGCTTTTAAGCCAGGTGTTGTGGTCATGTATACAGTCCTGGAACAGTACACAGGAAGCTGAGGCAGGAGGGTTAAGAATTCCAGATGGGCTATAGCATGAGACCCTGTTCACAAAATAAAAAATAGCAAACAGAAAAAAGAACAGTTTTAAAAGTGTTTTAAAACTTCCTTTTATGAAGGAAGGAAGGAAGGAAGGGAAGAAGGAAACAAGGAAGGAACAGAAGGGGAAGCCAGGAGAGCTCTATAAAAAGCTTTGGCATTTCCAAAGACCCTCAAAAGCAGAAGTGAGGTCCTCAAGTCTCCTGTGAACTTGGCAAAGACTACACGCAGTTTACTCAATAGCTCCTCAAATTCACAGCCCGAGGTAGAGGCTCCCAAGGCTGTCCCTAGGATAGTGGCTAAAAACTGGCTTATGTTTGGGGAATTGCCAAAGAGATCAGGCAACCACAGAAGTGGGTACAGATACCACAGCTGTTATCAGGCAGTTCTTTTAACTCTTGCACACAAAGAGAGGAACAAAGTCCCTTCCGTATCCTGGGGAAGGCTATCACCTGTGATCTGCTAACTGAATGCCTGGCATTTAGGCCATAGACTTGGAGCACAGGTGTTTATAACATGGCCCCACACAGTCCTGTCCTGATAATCCCCAGGCCAAAAAGTGAACACTACTTTATATGGCAAAAGGTGTGACTAAGTTGAGGATCTGAAGGGGAACTTGTCCCGGATCAAGATGGACCTTGATATACTCAGTCATCCCCATAGCAATGTGAGAGGGAGTGGCTGTCACAGATGGAGGAGAAAGTGACAGGAAGGCAGAGGCACAGAACGGAACTGTGAGGCCACAGCTAAGGAATGCCCACCCCTGGCCACTAGAAACCCAAAGAGGCCAGAACCCCCAGAACCTCTCAGACATGGGGCCTGTGGCTCCTGGCTTCATTCTGAGCATCTAGAACAGTGAGAGGGTGAAGGTCTGTCTGTGGCCTTCAGTTAACTAAGCTTACAGCCACTTGCAATGCCAGCAGCAGGAAACCGTGGTTAACGGGACTGGAGAGCTAAGGAGAAAAAGGAAGGCTTCCTCTGTTTGCATGCTTGGTGT